AAGAGGTTCCTAAGGATAGACTAGTGTCTTTAATAGACACCAAATTTAGGAAGAGGGCGATTGGTTGGTGGGAGTAGTTGAAGCCGACTGTAAATAGAATGGGTAAGCCTAAGATTACATCTTAGGAAAAGACAAAGAAACACATGTATACCGCCTTCTTACCCTATAACTTTTAGAGGATGATGTACCAACAGCTTGCAAAATTTGAGATAGGGGACCCGATTAATAGATGATTGTACCACCGAGTTCTACCCGTTGTTATCCTAAAACAAATTACAAAAGAAAAAGGATCTATCGATGGTAGGGTATATTAGTGGACCGAAGCCACACATTAGGGACTTCGTTAATATGTTTGACCTCGTGTGTCTTTCTACTACCATCTAGAAAAGTAATCGCATTATTTGAGAAGTTTTGTTAATCCTTTCGATACAAGCGGCAGTGGTGGCTTAAAGGGTAGTGGTGATGTAGGTCAAGCAAGAGGCAATGGTAACGTAAATACTCTCGTTACCTAGATAGATTGGCAAGGCAATCGATAAGAATATAAAGTATTTCAGCTGTAGCGAAATTGGCCACGAGCAATCCAAATGTTGAAAGGTAGGGAAAATAACGCTTCTTGTTGAAATAGAGGATTGTGATGAAGGTAATGGAAAGCTAGCCGGTGATCCTATTTATGATGATAGAGATGCCCCGAAGAAGGAGGTTGTGATGGGTGATGAGGGGACAAGCACTAGTTGTTAAAAAGTCCTGTTTGACTCCTAAGGTTGCCGAGGATGATTGGCTAAGAAGTAATATCTTTCAGTCCATCTACATAATTTAGGGTAAGGAATGTCACTTTTTCATTAACGTTAGTAGTTATGATAATATTATGTCCGATGAGGCAATGCAAAAATAGAGTCTTAAAATAGAGGGGCATCCAAAGCCCTACAATCTAGTCCGGCTTTAAAAAAAAGATGTAACTATTTCTCAACGAGCTTTAGTTTTATTTTCTATTGGTTCAAAGTATAAGGATGATGTGTGGTGTGATGTGGCTGTCATGGATGCATGTCATTTATTATTGAGTATACCATGATAGATGATAGAGGTGTAACCCATGATGGGTGAGCTAATACCTATAGGTTCATGTTTAACGGTGTCAAAATTATGCTTATACATATCAAGATTCTAGCCCGTAAGGGATAATAGCAAGTCGGTGTCACCGGCTTGGTTTGAGAAGAAGTTGCAGGATTCGGGAGTGATCTATGTGTTAATTAGGAAGAAAGTCGAAACCGATGAGGTAGTGTTAGAGGTAGTAGCCCCTCTTGCGACATAATTTTGTGATGTATTCTCGGATGAGTTGGCCGAGGAGTTACCACCATTGTGAGACATCCAACACGATATTGATTTAGAACTTAGTGTAATGTTACCCAACAAGCCCCATTATAGAATGAGTCCTAGTGAACATGAGGAGTCGAGGAGGCGAGTCGAGGAGCTATTTGCTAAGGGGTATGTGCAAGAGAGCTTGAGTCCTTATGCAATACCTACTTTGTTGATGCCAAAGAAGGATGGTTCTTAGGACATGTGTGTAGATAGATAAGCCATTAATAAGATCATAGTCCAAGACAAGTTCTATTTCATGACTAGTTGACTTACTTGATCGATTAGTGGTGGAACGGTACTTACAAAACTAGATTTGAAGAGTGGATATCATCGGATACGTATTAAGCCCGGAGATGAGTGAAAGACAACCTTTAAGACATATGAGAGGCCGTATGAATGGTTAGTAATGTCCTTTGGGCTATCAAACACTTTTATGCGTATCATGAATCAAGCCTCGAGGCCGCTTATTGATAAATCCGTCATTGTTTACTTTGATGATATTATGATCTATAGTGTTAATCCCGAAGTTCATATTCAATAATTAAGAGAGGTTCGATAGCACTTCGCATAGATAATTTTTATATAGAAGTGAAAAAATGTGTGTTCATGGTACCGAAGGTGTTGTTCCTTTGCTATATCTTTTCCGGGGATGGATTGCAAATAGATGAGTCCATGATTGAGATGGTGAGACAATGGCTTTGACCTAACACCATTACTAAGGTTCGAAGCTTTCATGGGCTTGCTTTTTTTATTGATGTTTTATTCCTCACTTTAGCGATATTATGGCCTCAATTACCGATCGTATGAATGGCGTCAAGTTTACTTGGATTAAAGAGGTATTTTAAAAGATTAAAACATGATTGACAACTTTTTCAATTTTGGTGCTACCGCATTATATGAATCCCTTCAAGCTACACAGTGATGCATCAAAACTAGGCATTAGTGGTAGTGTTGAGTCGAACAACGGACCAATGGCCTACTTCGATGAGAAGTTATCAAGTGCGAAGCTTAATTATAGTACTTATGACTTGAAGTTTTATGCAGTTGGTCGGTCGTCAAACACCGGAGGCATTACCTATTCCACAAGGAATTCATGTTGTATATTGACCATAAGGCATTGAAACACCTACACAAGAAAGCTAAGGTGTCAACAAGGTATGCAAGGTGGATTGCTTATTTGCAATAGTTTACTTTTGTAGTTAAGTATAAGGCTGGGGTCACTAATAAAGTGGTAGAAGTATTGAGTAAAAGGAGTTTTTTACCGACGCATATGCAAGTTAAGATACCTAATTTAGATTTATTTTACAATTTGCTTGATACTCGATTCATATTTCTCTATCGTTATGGGGAAGGTTCACATAGAAGTCGAAGATAAAATTTCTATTGCATGATGATAAACCAACTTCATGTTCCCAATTACATTTTGTGTGTGTAGATTATTAATGAGTCAGTATAGGGAGGGTCATGTAAGGCGAGATAGAACATTACAATTGGTTCAAGATTTGTACTTTTGGCCTAACATTTGGAAAGAAGTGAAAAAATTTGTGTAAGCACTGTCGAATATGTCAAGTGTCTAAGGGTACAACTATAAATGTTGGATTTTACATGTCATTACTTGTGCCTTCTTAGCCTTGGGTGGATGTCGGCATGGATTTTATTTTGGGATTACCCCGAACATAACAAGGCAAAGATTCCATCTATGTGGTTGTTAATCCTTTTTCTAAGATGGTTTATTTTATTCCTTGCAAAAAGATAAGAAATGTTGTTAATGTTGCTCGTCTTTATTTTTGGAAAGTGTATCATATGTATGGTTTTGCTAACATCCATTGTGTTTGAAAGAGATACAAGGTTCTTCGACTCATTTTTGGCGTAGTTTATGAAAGATGATGAACATGTAGTTAAATTTTAGCAAGTGCTTATCACCCACAAACAAATGGACAAGCTAAAGTTGTCAATTGGTCTTTAGGAAACTTGTCGTGATGTTTAATTGGTGATCATATCAAGAGTTGGGTTCGAAGTTGTGCCAAGATGAATTTTGCTCATAACCATACCGTGAATAAGGGTACGGGATTCGATCCATTCCAAGTTGTGTATTCTATCATGCTATATGGGCCTTTGGATCTAATATTAATGTCGAACAAGACCAAGATTCATGGTAAGATAGCTAATTTTGTGACAGGATTATTGAAAATTCATAAGGCCGTATGCGATAACTTAACTCAATCTTATTTGAAGTACAAGGTAGCCACTAATAACAAACATTGCCATGTCAAGTTTGAAGAAAGTGACTTCGTGTGGGTCGTTCTCACTAAAGACCATTTTTTTTATAGGAGATTACAACAAATTAGCATCGAAGAAGATTGGCCCTATGGAGATAGTTGAGAAGATTAACCCAAATGCTTATTGCCTTAAGCTTCCTAGTCATATTCGCACCACCGATGTGTTCAATGTTAAGCATTTGATTTCTTTTCGTGGTGACTTTTCCGATGATGATGATGATACCGACAATTTGAGTGAGATTTTTTTTTCTTGGGGGAAAGATGCGGACCAACGGGTTTTGGAATTCATGAAACAAGTATGAGTGTGGTAAAAACCGAAGAAAAACTATTGGTCTAATTTTGAGGTTTTTTGATCCTAATTCGATGCCAATGGGATCAACAACCAAAACAAATTTGCTTTGCCTATAATGTAGAGGTGATTTTTGCCAAAAAAAAAAAAAAACATCGTTTAGACCTTCAAAATTAGTTTTTACCATTTTCGGGATTTTTCCTTAATATTTTTAGATTTTAGTGTTTGTTTCCTTTTTGAATTGCTTTAGGGTTTTGTCTAAAAATTTACTATTTATGTATTACTTTGAGGCTGAAAAATATCACTTTTTGTTAGCTAATAAAGTTTTATAAGAGAGTATCTTAGTTTATCCAAATTTTGGCATTATTTGAATCAACATAATTAAAGTTTATTTCTTGGTATTTATATGCAATCCAATATATTATAGTAGACCGACATCTAAGTTTTAGATCAATAGTAATTATTTTTATTTTTGTGAGTTTTCATTACGTCAAAATGATAGATAAACTATCTGTCTTGTTTGTGTTTTAGCTCCTGAGCAAAAGGGATTTTAACCACTGTCAAATTAAGCAATGGAATAGAATCAGGAAAGAAGAAAAAAATATATTTCTTACACAACATATGGTTCATTTTTTGATAAGATATCTCAGATCCTTGAAGTTTTAACTACTTTCTTTAAAGAGTGACTTCAATTCTTTAACTATCAATTACATGAGTGAAATTGCAGAAAAATTCTTCCATACGTTGCTAATCCTTACAGCAAATATGTGTATTTTAAACAAGGTGAAAAGGTCAATGCAGAAGTAGGATTCATGATTAAGCACAAAAAATATGATCTGTACTTCATAACAACAATATCAATCACGAAACTGATGATCTAGCAGCGGAAGGTTGCAACATCTAAAGGGAACATAGCCAAACATGCCACTCGTGCAACAACAAATAATTTACATTTTTCTTGGTTTATACTAACCACCATATCCACGTAAAATTCAACTTTGATAAATATATAAGGTTCCTGACCTTCGCAGATCTCAAAATATCTAGACTCTCAAGGTTACATTTTCCCTATCCAGAGAACTTGGGGTGGTCAACACTTCTTTAATGGTACCAATTTCCAGGAAATAAGCCATAGAAAAATTAGATTGGCGGTGGCAATGCCGGTGCATGAGAGGGAGAGAAAGGGAAACACGTAATGAATGCTACAAAACTGAAAACAGCACTGAGATACATCGTACCCAGATAACAACTGCCAGATTGTATTAAATACGTAGGGCTAGATTTTATTGGCTTTTTTTTTTTTTTTTAGGTGCAAAAGATGTGACAACATAACCCCATGCCAAAAAGTAGCCCACACTGCCCTCACATGAGCCTTGTTCATGTAAATCTCTTAGAGTATAAACGATGAATCTTATCCCCATTTAAGCTATTTCAAAAACTAAATCTTTCCATGTTAAAAATAGTAACCATGGCTGCTTTCTCTCCAAAATCTACTCCTTACAATGTTCGTTCTATTAGTTTTCCAGCTCGATCACATCCTAGTGTAGCCAAACTTGAACAAGAATTGAACAAGATTAGTTCTTGGGAGGCACCAACTTCATTGAAGGCAGATAAATTTCTCTGTCGCCTATCGAGCCTTGGAGAGATATACAAATGCGTTGAGGTTCTTCTCAATTTGCCAATGACCCAACAAGCTCTATTGCAACATCAAGATGAGAAATTAGTGAATGACATGTTGGATGGTTTGATGAGGTACTTGGATGTATGTGGAAAGACAAGGGATGCTATTGTCTTGATGAAAGAAAGTGTCCGAGAGCTTCAATCTGCTCTTCGTGGAAGTAAGGCTGGTGGTGAGTTGAGCATTGAAAGTAATGTCAAAGCTTACTTTTGCGCAAGAAAGAAGCTAAAAAAGGAAGTAGAAAAATCTCTCGCATCACTGAAGCAAGCAGATAACATTTTCGGAGACTCTCCTCTGTTCAATGCAACGCATCATCACCTTTCTGCAATTGTTAGAGTGCTTGGAGAAGCAAGTTTGATCACAGTCTCAACATTTAGCTCATTCTTGTTATTCCTTTCTGTGCCAGTGCTGAAACCAAGGCCTAGTAAATGGTCCTTGGTTTCAAAATTGGTGCACAAAGGGGTGGTAGCATGTGAAGGCCAACAGGAGAACCTGAATGAATTGGAAAGTGTGGATGCTGCTCTTGCAAGCTTATTGGTACCCAACTCAAGCAAGGATTTTAAGGCACAGGATCACATACAATCTGCTCAGAAGAGGCTGGAGATTTTGGATAATAGTATTGAAGAAATTGAAAATGAGTTGGATAGCTTGTTTAGGCCTTTAATCCATGCTCGAGTCTCCCTCCTGAATATACTCTCATTAGAGTGATTTCAATGTAAATTTTTATGTAATTATTAGGAATCATTGGTTGGCATCCGAATTTTAGGGGATTTGCATTAGGAGGTTCAGATCCTTTCAATTGTACAATTATGTTTATGAGTCTAGTTGTTGTAGTTGTATTGCAGAAATTAACATTGAAATAAAGTTTGAATTTGAGTAGATTGAGATTAAACTCTTCGCATTAATTTTCTTTTTTTCTTTTCTTTTCTCTGAAGATTTTGCTCCTTTTTATTATGACCCATTTTCACATGAACTTTCTGAATGTGTTATAAGGATTTGTTTCCTTAAAATTCCAAGACTTGATTGCACCTTAATTGTCACTTTCAGTATATGAATTTTTGAAAAACAAAAATGGGGAAAGAAAAGAATATCCTTAGTAGTATTATTGAAAAGTTTGAGCTTCAAATGGCCATCCCTCAAATTCAAGAACGTTTTACAAACTCAAGTTTATGTATAAGATTAAATTAATCTCTTCAATTAAATTTTTTTAAAAAAATCATCTATTATAAAATTATGAAATTAATGAGAATTTTTATTTTTCACATTTTACTTTAAAATTATAACGACGATTGATGTGATAAAGGAGCAACCCTTCAACAAGGGGTGATCTGCATTTCCCTCTTCTAAGAAAATAATAAAGTTTGATCTAATTGGATTCCGGAAGTTGAACCTTTTCCGTAATAATTAAGCATTTTCAGCCCCCTCTGATCCTAAATCATTTTAATTTTCTGTTTGATTCTGTTCCAACTTCTAATTTATTTTCAAGATCATCCTAATAATTGTTCTTGATGGCCCTGCATTTATTTAATCTTAATTGTTCTAGGCCAAGTGGTCAACCCCATATATGACCATGTTGACAAAAATAAGTGAGGATAAGCCATGGGTAGGTCTAATAATTCAGTCCTGATTATCAGCTATTGTGGTATTTAAATGGAGGTATGGTCCTATCCTATTACAGCCACAGGTCAGTGGTCCGCGCCGACCCAGCATTGCAAATCTTTGGAGGCTTCTACCAGCTACTGGACCACCCTCACCACCACCTCATGGGCCCTTGCCCCCAATCGTTTCTCAAAAAGAAAAAGTAATCTAGGTTTTAGGATAAAGTATGTTTTTTTCCCTAGAGTCAACAAAGGTATATTTCAGTATGGAGTGCATTATCATGAAAAAAAAAAAAAAACAAACAAACAAACAATATGGGGTACATTGATTATAAAAAAAAAAAATGAAGAAAATTATAAAGGGTAAATTAGAACTTTTTGATTAAAAACTCTAAAATTCATAATAAGATATTTTAATTAATAAAGACCTTGAAAGTTGAAACGTTGCCAAATTAATGTATTAACTAATAAACTAAAGGAAAACCGGATTTTACCGTAGCTACATTATTTGAAATACCGTGCACATACTTACATTTCACTATTCACCCTCTCATAATTCACTCGTTATTTTCACTATTCATAACTTTTTTTACACTTTAGCCCCCGATATTATCAAACGCATATTTCGATCCATATGTTCATTTGCTCATCCATTCCGGTCCCTAGGTATAGAGAGAAGGCTAAGAGGAAGAGAGAGAGGGAGGAGAGAGAGATCGCCAGCTAAGCTCATTTAGGTCATTCCGGCCAATGAAAATCCACTAGAGTTTTTTACTTTTGAGAGATGAATTTGTCCATGGTGGTTTCAAGCCATTAAACGAGTTAGAAGAGGTAGATCGGAGCCAAAAAAGAAAAAAAAATCCGATTTAATTTTGTATTTTTCTTTGTTTTTGTGTGTATTAAAATGATTTTTAAGATTTAAGATTTGTTTATTGGTTTTATTCCTGCCATTTAGAGGTGTTTGGGGAAAAAAATGATGTTGGAATTCAATTTTTAGACGTTTGAAATTTGGCTCCCGATTTTTCGACAAGCTTCTAACAACCTCGGGTTCATCGAAGTTGCGGGCTTGTTTTTTTTTTTTCGTAGGGAAGCTCGGCGCGCGAGCTCGCAATGGCGAGCCCAAGCATGCCGGCCACTCTGTAGAGGCCAACCACGCCTAGCCTCCCTAACATATATTTTTTTTAATATATATAGAAAGAGAGAGAGAGAGGCGCCCGGGTGGCTTGCAACTGTGTTTCCAACCAAGGGGCACGCTTGGTTGGCTTGCAACCAAGTTTGCGCATATATATATATATATATATATATATATATATATATATATATATATATATATATATATATATATATATGATCACCTTACTTTTATTGTTTAAATTTAATTATTTATTTCTTATTAAAATTCACATAAAAATAATTTTTTGATTTAATTTTATTTGTTAATAATTTTATTTTTTTAATATATAAATTTTGAAATAAAATTTGAGAACGTCGATGTTTTATTTTTTAAATATGTCATTATAATTTATACAATATATTTTTTTAGTTTTTAAATGAAATGTTTTTTGTTAATTATTTTTATTATTTCAAATTTACTACTTTGATTTGTTATTTTTAAAAAATTCTCATCCATTTAATTTCAAATTACATTCAAAATTTAAAATATTTTTTTACCTTTGATTTCATATATTTTTATACATTCACACTATAAAATAAATTATCAAACTAAAATAAAATTTTTAAATAATTTATATATTTTATTTTATCTGCAAGATAAAGACGGCAAAAAACCTAGTAAAAACTAAAACAAAGCTTGGCGCCTCTTTTTTCTATTTTCGAATCTTAACCATAAACTTATCCCATGGAATAACACCGAAAACATGTTTTTATGGGTATGGATGAATATGTATGGATCCTTTGTTAATGACCCATTAGACAAGAGTCCCTCGATAGTAAATGAATATGTATGGATCCTTTATAAATGACCCATTATTACTCAAATGCATGCAATTCAAGTAAAATTATGAAGCAAAAGAGAAACTAATTAATAGTATATGAATTGAAATAATGAAAAACTCGATAGAATAAGGCATAAATGATGACAAAAATCACATTCAAGTGTTCACACTCCACACATGACAAATTATTAAGCACAAGAAAAAAGAGAATTAAAAGTAGAAAAGTGGAAGATGTGTAAGATTAGGTCCACCATATAACATAAAAAGAAGAGCCTAAGATGGACCATCAAATTCAAGATACACGCTTGTCCCCTCATTGTAAGCAAGCAATTTTATTCTTAAGAAATGTGTAACATGCTTGTCTTGAACCAAAAGGCAATGCAATAGTCCTCATGCTCAAAATATTCTCTTTTTTCCCCGTTCGTATGTTTAGAATATTTTTGGATTACCTTCCAAGTATTAATACTCTTCTTTTGTTGTACTAGTTAAACTCGTTAAGTTTATATTTGGATCATGTATATTTACCGGATTCTAAATCATCTTTTGTAGTATAGGGTTATATATCTTTATAATCCTTTCTACAACGTCTACGTCTATGAATAAGGCACCTAACCTCTTATACAATTATACTCAAGCACTATAATGAAGGCATAGTTTTAAGGAATGCGTATAATATTATCAATGGGGACTCGTGAGGAAAAAGCATGGGAAGAAGAATCACCACTTAATTAATCGAGAAAAACTAAAAGATCTTAAATAAACCGACCTATAAAAATAGCTAGGTAATGGGTATGTTATATATGAAAAAGATATAATATCACCATCATCTCCTCCTACCTAAGGCAAACTTCATTGTTTGCAAATGAAAATAAAAATATGATTTTTTACTATATTATGTTTCTATGCTTATTTGAATGAATTTATTTTATCGAAATAAAATAACAGAGTAATTTGGGGTCTAGACCGATCCGAGACAAATACCTATACTCGGAGGAAAAAAGTGGGGGGATGTTGGAATTTTGGCTATTCTTTAGCGAACATGACCTATACCGACAAGTAGGTAGGTTTCTAAAGATTGCTAGCCTTATATTAACATGAACAATGAGTCATTGACAACTTCGCTCACACGGATGAGAAGCCACCGATGACTTCGAGTCATGAATTTAAGAAGTTATTGAAAAATTTATTACATAAGTGGGAAGCCACCAACAACTTTGATTCAAGCAAAAAGAAATTAAATAAAATTGATTCGGGAGCCACTAGCAGCCTCCATCCATATAAGTGAGAAGCCAATGGTAGATTCATTTCGAGCAAATATAAAATAGGTAAAATTACTCGAAACCATTGGTGATTTTATCACATAAGTGGGAAGTCACAAGCAGTTTCATTTTAAACGAACAGAAAGTAAGTAAACTAATTCGAAAGCCACTAGCAGCCTTCATCTAAATAGGTGAAAAGTCATTAGTGACTTAATTTTAATGATCATTTTTTGAAGAAAAATGATTTTAGGACCACTAACGACTTTGTCCACATATGTGAGAAGTCATTGGCGGCTTGCTTGCTTTCTTTCGACGAACAAAAACTAAGTAAAATGATTTCAAAATCATTGGCAACTTTGTCACATAAGTGAAAAGTTAATAGTGACTTCACTTCAATAATCATTTTTTGAAGAAAAATGGTTTTGGGACCACCGATGGCTTTGTCCACATAGTTAGAAAGTCATTAGTATCCAACTTTTTTTACGAACAAAAACCAAGTAAAATGATTCAAAATCACTAGCGGCTTTGTCACATAAATGAACAATTATCAATGGCTTCATTTCAATGATCAATTTTTGAAGAAAAATGGTTTCGAGGCCATTGACGACTTCTTCCACATAGGTGGGAAGTCACTTGTGGCCACTTTTCCGACAAATAGAAATTGAGTAAAACGATTTCACATAGCAAGTAAATATAAATTATCTCATTCATAATCAAGCTAAACATTTCATAGTCCAATTATCAATAACATGGCATTTTTATCACTTTTATTTATTAGTTAAAACTAATTTTTATAAGTTCGAAAATTACCTAAAATATTTCAAAAAGTTCGAATTTGTCTAAGAGTCCGATTAGGAGTCAATTAAACTCTCTTCATCTTTGATCATAACCGATTATTT